CAGCCTGCGGGCCTGGCCCGGGAGCTTCCCTCTGCCCCGAGGCTGTCCCGGGGGAGGCCCGGCGGAGCTCTCCTGCCCGAGAGGGTAGGAGATGAGAAGGCACTGTGTTCTCATGAATTTGCCGTATATCTTTGTTTTCTTCAAAGAAAAAGTTGAGGTCATGTCATCTGCTCAAAGTTGAGTAGTTTATTCAAAATAAATTGAAAGTTTCTGATTATAAAAGTGTGTGTAGATTTCTTTCTTCAAAGCACCCTTCACGTAGCCTCCTGAGGGAGCATCCAGGGTACGGCCTCGGCACCGAATGCGCGGCCTTTTGGTCAGCCCCTCCTCCGGGCCTGCGAAGGCCCCGTGGCCTGACCACCTTACTCTTCTAGGGAGAGGACACCTGTGGAGGGAGGTGGGCTAGCCGAGCTCCTTTCCATCCCGTACAGGCCAACCCCCCCCCCCCCAAAAAAAAAAAAAACGGATCCCTGGCTTGTCCCACAGCCCCTGCTGAGGCCCTGGGCCCCTCCCGGTCGGACGTGGGAGCTTAGGGCTGCGGAATATGGCCGGGGTGGGGTTGGGTTCCAGCGGTTCTCAACCTGTGGGTTGCGACCCCTTTGGGGGTCGAACGACCCTTTCACAGGGGTCACCTAAATACATCCTGCATATCAGATATTTACATTACGATTCATAACAGTAGCAACATTACAGTTATGAAGTAGCAACGAAAATAATTTTATGGTTGGGGGTCACCACAACATGAGGAGCTGTATTAAAGGGTTGCGGCATTAGGAAGGTTGAGAACCACTGGTAGATGGTCCTGGGTTATGAAGATAGGACTCGAGAGAGAAACTAGAGATGTTGGAGTCATGCCAAAGGTTGAGGACAGGAAATACAAGGTATGGGTTCCCATTGAGGGTCCATTTGTGGCGACAGGAGTGGCAGCAACATCAGTGACAGCTCAGGGGTGAAGGCTGCAGAGCTGTGGGCGGCATGCACGGGGCAGTCAGGCCAGAGCAGCCCTGGACCCTGTGGTCGGAACTCCGAGGTTCTCCCCCTTGAGCCTCACAGGCTGAGAGAGACATGGGCTCTGCCCTCAGGGGTGGGGGGGCAGAGGGGACACGGAGGGAATTGGTCACAGGTGAATGTTTTCTCTGAGGCAGCAGGGCCAGCGGCCACTCCTGCAGGTCACGGGGCTGAGTACCATGGCCTTGCACCATATCCTCGGCCATCTTAAAAAAGAAGAGAAGCCCCCTCCCCTTTTTAACTTTCAGGAAGAAAAAAAAAAGGAAGAGAAGCTCTCACTGGTGTGGCTCAGTGGGCAGCGTCGGCCTGCAGACAAGGGTTCTGGGTTCAATTCCGGTCAAGGGCACATACCCAGGTTGCAGGCTCGATCCCCAGTTGGGGGCATGCAGGAGGAGGCAGCCGATCAATGATTCTGATCTCTCCCTCTCCCTTCCTCTCTGAAATCAATAAAAGTACATTTTTTAAAAAAATATGGTTCCTTTCCCCCTTAAAAAAAAAAAAAGAAGATAGCAAAGTCTAGGGCAGTGATGGCGAACCTATGACACGCGTGTGAGAGGTGACACGCGAACTCATTTTTTTGGTTGATTTTTCTTTGTTAAATGGCATTTAAATATATAAAATAAATATCAAAAATATGTCTTTGTTTTACTATGGTTGCAAATATCAAAAAATGTCTATATGTGACACGGCACCAGAGTGAAGTTAGGGTTTTTCAATTTGCTGACACGCCGAGCTCAAAAGGTTCGCCGTCACTGGCCTTGGGGAAGGACTTTCCCACGTGGCCCAGGGGTTCCTGCAGCAATCGGCGTGGCCCACGGACTGGCTCTGCTCGGGGCACCGAGGGCCCAGCATTGATCTTGGCTTGTTAAGCCAATCCTGTTCCCGGGAGACAGTCACACTGACGTGCGCTGAGCACACGCCCAGTCAGTCCTCGCTGCCCACATGCCACAGCTCACCTGGAGGAAAGTGCACCTGTTCATGTTAGAAACTGGAAGGCCCATTTTTGTAACAGAGCACAGCGCCCAGATGTGACTGTCAGTGACCTGGCCCTGCCTGCCACCCCTCGAGGTGAGCCTGCCGAGAGATTTAGACAGCAAAGGGGTGGTCGGTTTTAAAAGGCCAAGAAATTGTAGTTTATGATACGATTGTGAAATTCCCACAGCCAACAGATGGAGCAGAAAGGGGGTGAAGCTGCACCCCTTCCTCCCCTCAGCTGCTTGCTTCCTGCTGTCTGAGATGAGCTAGCAGAGCAGGAGCTGTGCCTGGCAATGGGCATAACTCCACTGGAGAGGGTCCTAGGAAGGGAGGGGCATGGAGTTTGGAAAAGGAGTTTAGGGAAGTATATTTTTTATTGATTTCAGGAAGGGAGAGGGCACGAGAGAAAGAAACATCAATGATGAGAGAGAATCATCGATCAGCTGCCTCCTGCACACCCCCACACTGGGATCGAGAGATGACCGGGGAATCAAACCTTGACCTCCTGGTTCATAGTTCGATGTTCAAACACTGAGCCCCACTGGCCGGGATAATTGTAGATTTTAAAAGGCTAAAGAAGAGCCCTAGTCAGTTTTGCTCAGTGGTTAGAGTGTCGGCCTGCGGACTGAAGGATCATGGGTTCGATTCCAGTCAAGGGCAAATACCTTGATTGCAGGCTCGATCCCCAGCCCGGGTCAGGGCTCCTGTGGGAGGCAGCCAATAGATGTCTCTCTCACATTGACGTTTTCTGTCTCCGCCCCTCCTTCCACGCTCTCTAAAAATCAATGGAAAAAAGTATCATCGGTGAGGATTAACAAAACAAAAGGCTAAGGAGGAAATGGTCTCAGTATTCATTCATGGATACCAGGAAACCATGAACATCCTTGGTAAAATTGTGACGACCAGAAAATGCAGGTGGGGGGGGGGCGCTTAGCTGGGTGAGGAGAAACCGCCAGTGGGACCTGCCTCACGGGTGTTACCCTGGGGCACATGCATCGCTGCCCAAGGAGAGCCCAGCCCTGCAGAGCTGGGAGCTTAAAAATGCCCAGGCAGGCAGCTGGCCACTGGTCCGTCCTTCCGCCCCCAGATCTGGCAATATCCTCAGAGGCGGTGGCGTCTCAGTGATGGACGAGTCCTGTCCTCCTCCTCCATGTGCGGCTCTGAGGCAGGAGGGTTCCCGTGCGCCCGCTGCATCCTGACCCTTGGGCCCTGACCTTTCCGGTGCTGGAGGCCCTCTGACCAGCCCGGGCCGCCCCCCTCCCCCATGCGACCCCGCACATCGGACAACTTCTTCCTGAGCCTGACTCCTGCAGGCCCGGGAGGTCCAGGCCGACCACAGAGCGGACCTCCCAGGCGTTCCCTCCCCCAACCCCCACCCTCCAGGCGACCTTGACCTCCTATCCTGGCGAGTGTCGGCACCAAAAGCTACGGGTCCCATTCCATCACGTGCGCAGTCACCTGCCCCGCGGCGCCCGCACACTGGCGCAGCCCTGAGTCATCCTCTGGCCCTGCCTCCTGCTGGCGGCCGCCGCACCCGGGAGCGAGAGATGCGGGCCCTGCTTATCCGGGAGGAGGGAAGTGCGTCCAAACCAGGAAACAAGCTCCCGCTGGGCTCCCTTGGGCGCTGCCGCTCTGGTTTGCATGAACTGGACGGCATGCCCCCCGCCCTGCGCTAACGCAACCCGAGAAGACGCGCCGATGTGGGCCG